CGACGCAAAGCCCCTGGACACCAGGTCGAGTTGTCCAGGGTGGGGTTCTTCGGGGGACAGCTCGACCAACTTTTTTTCTCCTCATGATTTCATGATCTAAAATCCCTCATCTTAGATAAATTTGTCATTTTATGTATTAAATATGCTTTTATAAACACCCACCCCTAACCTAACCATAACTCTAACCCGGCGATTGTACGCCTTCGGCTCGTCAAAAATATATTCTCGTTGCAAAAAATATCAGCTTTATTCTTTAGAACAGCTCTCAAAATACTCACAATTTCCATGTTCCCTGTCATGACTGCGTTAATTATAAAAGCATTAATACATAAAATGACAATTTTATCTACGATGAGTTATTGCCAGTTATTCACCCCATGTATACGCAATGTTTACGTCTCTAGCTCCCACGGACAAAGAATTGTTTACATGTCAATACATTTCTCTTTCTATATATCTATCTACTCACATCTCGCTTAATTCTTTCTCCTTTCTACTGCTTTGTTTCCCTTCCCTTCTCTTGCTCTATTTCTGTATCTCTCTTTCTACTCTTTCACCCTCTCCCTCTCTTGCTCTGCCTCCCTCTTTTTCTCTTGCTCTGTCTCTCGATCCTTTTCTCTACTCTTTCACCCTCCCCATTTTCAGCCTCTGGCTCTCGTTCTCCCTCTTTTATGTCTTTGGATGTTCCTTAATTTTTGTCAATAAAATCTATTCTTCCTATTTAAAGTCATCATCTTATTGAAAGTCATCATGACAACTTTTACCATAAACAAAAATATTCTTTTCAAAAATAATTCCTAGGTACTGAGCTTCCTTCTCACATTCCTAGATAAATACTTATAAAACAGTACGACATACACAAATCACTCAATTACTACATATCTCATGAAAATGTTTGGAACAAACTGTTTCAATTTTTACTGCACATAAATTATCATTTAAGCTTTATCAAGGTAAACCTTTAAAGTCAAACATAACATTCTTCATCTTATCAACCATTACATGATATCAGAAGATCATGACACAACATAGCTCATATCACTAAATACCAATCCTAGTCAATATACATATAGTTGTATATCCAGAAATCTCAGTTCTCAACCTATGGTTTAATCAACCAAGTTTTATAATGTACAATAAATAATATGACATTCTTACTTTTATCAAGTCATGAGACTTAGATACATTACATTTCTCTTGTATTTGAGTTGAAATCTGCACATGCAATTCTAAACGCAATTCTAAATGCAATTACTAAAACGTGTTTCCAATAATCTGATTTTTTGTTTTAAATGATATTATATAGCACCCGTACTTCAGAACGTTAATATCATGAAAAAGGTTGAGCATGGTTATAAGTCTACAAACACCTTTGAATAAAACCTTTGCTAAAAACAATGCCAACATAGCACAACAATATCATGCTGTGGGATAATTAGCATAAAAACAATCCATGTATAAATATGTATGACATATTCTGCACAAAGTTGAAAACCTATAACATGGCTATACGTCAATGTCCATATAGTTTGTATATAACCTGTTAATACAAAGTAGAGATTATCAAATGTTCACATCATCACCTGAAGACAATGTCTTTGACTCAAAATTAAACAATTATCCAGCATTAAAGAGCACAACCCATTGTGTTCAGCATCATTAAGCCCTCTCTGATATATTTAGAGACATAAGGTGGCTGTCTAATTATCATCTCTTTCTGTTTTTTCTGTTCAAAATGTAGTGAGTAATATTCCTGCACTTGCATAAACTACAATGCGTATATATTGCTGTAATATTTTCTTCTTCATATCAAACTTGTGTAGTGGATTTCATGAATTTCTACAAAACATATGCTCAGGATAATAATTTTGTATGTGCTATCATAGAAAGTTTGATGGGTATACATTTGTGGCTGGGAAGATCAATATAAAATAAATCTCAACATTACATAATCCTGGTAAATGCAATATGTATTCAACAAATGACATTAACAAAATATGTTATTAAACCGTGATACACATCCAATAATTTACAATGGTAGACAGACAAAAGAAATCCATGAGTATAGTGCATTTTACATTCTGCTCATATAATCTGCTGTAACATTATACTGAACCTTCACCGATACAAGCCGAAACCTGTAATCTTGGAGCATCATGCTCCATCTCATGATTCTCTTATTGTCAAACCTCTTCGCTTGAATATAGAAGAATGGTTTGTGGTCTGTGTGTACTTCAATTTAATACAAATAATATTTTAACTTTTTGATTGCTCGTACTATTGCTAAGCACTTTTTTTCTATTGTGTAATTTTCTTCCCATGGTAATGACTTGTTACTCGCATAAGCAATCAGGAATTCTTCTCCTGAATGTTACTGCATAAGCCCAGCACCCACATTTACCTTCAATATAAACTGATCCTCGGCATCTTCTGCAGAATCTTGACACACCTTCCTACTCTCTATACACAAATCAAAGCAGCCAGCCACTGACAAGTTAACCTTCTGCCTGAGAAATTATTTGTTGAGAAGATTAATGTGATATTTCTTAAGAACACCACTGACAATGTAGTCATAGTCATACTTTACGCCAGCACAGGGAATGGACCCTTCCATTTCAGCAACAACTTGTTCTGATCAGTGGGAAGCAAGATAAACCCTGATCTCCGTTATTAAATTTCCTGTTTCTAGCATTCATATCCTAATACTTCTTGTATTTTCCTGCGGCACCTTTTAAGGCTTCCTGGGCTAACCCCCATGACTTCACCAACTTCTCACGGAGCACTATGTCATATTCATACTCATCTTTCAACTCCGGTATTACACCATCATTTGTCCTCAATTCCCTTAACATATCAAAGACACTCGCCAAGACCCAGTCTTCACTAAACCAAGTTTTCTGAAATGGTAGAAATTTTGAAGATATTCAATACCTACACATGGTGATAAAAAAATGTAATATGAATGAAACATTTCCATTGTCACTGCTAATATTAAATATAATCAGTGTCTCCGTTACCTTTACTACTGCTATCACCTTCACCAGTATTGTTAGTAGGTGAAAAGCATTACCCTTATTCATCTTTCAGATAGATGTTATTACTGATCACTGGTTTTATGCTAATGTTATCGTATTCATTTAATCAACGTCTGAGGAAATTAATTTTTCAAAATATTTTTTGTACAAAGCAAATGAGATATGAGCTCGCATGTGATGTCACACAGTTTGCAATTTGTGCTTCACTGATTACAACTCCAACAATTTATAACTTTCTCATTTGTTTTTGATTTTCCTCAAAATTTCATTGATTTGTTTCTCTCATTTATCTGCTTTTATGAAGACCAACTTATTTTTGGGGTGGACTTCTCCTTTAACACTTTACATGTATGAAGATCAACTTATTTTCGGGTGAACTTGCCCTTTAACACTTTACATGTATATGTAAGCATCTTAAAAAATGCATATTTATAATTATATGGCTAACGTCATTTACTCCTTACTGTACTTGGGGGGGGGGGGGGTGGCGTAAGAGCCCCCCCCCCCCCTCCCCCACCCCGCATTTTTGGAGATAGCGCCGCAACCGCTTGGAATTTTACATTGTTGTTCTTCGATTCTTTTCCTCAAGTCTTATGCACATTTTGATACCATTTTCATCGAATTTGGATACACCTGTCAGGTGTTACATAGCAATTAGTATGCGCATATCATCAAAAAGTGCTACAATTGCATATATACATGTACAAGCAGAAATGTGAATACAGGTAAATAGATGTATAAGTGGGAGATATGAATTGATATCAAATTGCTTTGATACGTTTCTCAAAGTAACTTGATGTATTCCAGAACAAAAGAATACATTAGAAATAAAATAATAGATCGAGGACTTAAAACCACAACTGTCTATGTCCAAATATGCCATTTGAGTAAAAATGCATTTAAAAGTTTGATTGCAAGCATAAAATCTGACAAAGTGTAGTAGTTATGTTTAATGCCATTAACTTATAAATAATACTTGGTCAAACATCATACATGGAAGCCATGACCTTTTGACCCTGTCAATGTCAGAAACTTAAAAAATGGGAGTGCCAAATACCATCCATGGAACTCTTCAGGAATGGCTAGGCTATTGCACAAGTTGATGAGATCCTTCTTCTTAAGGTTTAGGCTTTTTTAAATGCTTCTCTTGGTAGACAAGGTCCAGATTACGTGGAACTGATGATCTATCTTCTTGTAGTCATACAAGTAGTTATAGATGGTAGCAGATGGTGCTTTGCTCTTCCTTCCTGTATTGGAAGCTCTTTACATGTAGCCAGTTGAAGACGTGTCTATCTTCGTCTAGGCGTTTGTTATTCATGATCTGCTGTGAGAGATTTTTCAGATCATAAAAGTCTCCATGGCACATGTTTATGACCTTGTATGGAAGCCGACGTCTTAATTTGTGGAAAATGTTTTACCCAGTCATGCATTGTGAAGACATTGATGTTCTTTTTTTCTGTTTCAATAGCAGAATGCATGCTATTGCATTCCACGTGGGAATGCCCACTCTCCAGAAAATTGTGTGCGATGACTTTGAGATGTGTGTTCTGGATGGCATAGAGTAATGTTGCAGCGACATTCACTTTGCAAATCAAAAGAAGCAGAGACAAAAGTCCTCTTTCCAGCAACTACCTTGGCCTGGCATAGCTGCCAACACTTTGGAATTTTCAATTAGTAACATTTAAGTAAAACTGAATATCATGTGCGCGTAGCGCACATCACGAGCTTTCTTTGGAAAATCAGAGTCAAATTCCCTCATGTAGCAGGGTGTTGTTTGGCGAGCCTTAGTAATAAGGACACTTTTTAGAGTTTCGTTGCTCATGGACCCTCTGAAGTCAGTTTTGTTCTTTCGCACCTGACTGAAGACCCTTTCACATTCAGCATTGGTATGGGGTATGGTTAGAATCCCTTTTGCAAGTCTGTCATAGCACAGTTCACCAGAAACATTCTTTTCTGTCATCATACTTGTCCACTGCTTGTCAGTAGATTCCTCATTTTGCACTAAGTCCGGAAGCTGAGCAATTTGATAGATAAGGAACTGGTTCTCCAGAGCATCTAGGGCACTGTGCTTGTCTTCTTCTTCTTCCTGAAGCAACATGCAGGGGAACTTGTTGATGAAGAACTTTAGAGAAGTGAATTTGGCATCCTTCTGATATGCAATGTCAGCCACTTGCACATGGATGAGAACATCAGACTTCAATAGAAACTTACTTACAATGTAGTCACATGCCTTGGTGTAATATGAATGCACTGCTGCATAGAACTTATGGCAATCAGACTCATCTAAAGTGTTCACAATTTCTCTTGTTGCGCTTTTTATGACCATTTCAGATTCTTCACAAAGATTCTCCTTGTTCTTGTAGTCCAGAAGGGTCAAGTCTGTGGCTGCAATGATTGCTTGTGGAGCTACAAATTGGCTGTACAAGTCACGCAGTAGACTTTCTAGTATTCCTTTTAGCTTTTGTATCAGAGGACTTCTCGTCTGAAAGATGACATTTTTCTTGTGAAATGCAATGATGCTGTGGCTGATATTGGGTTTGAGTGCAATGAATTCAGAATTCTTTCCTGTCTTGTTTTATCTCTTACTGTCTGTCTTGTTTCTTTTTTTCCTCCACATCTTGTTTTTTCATTTCCAGTCATTTTACTAGAAATCATACTGGGATGACTGGAAGTTCCAGTCTTGAGCACTGTTGAGCCTGTTGCCTTGCCAACAACTTTCCCAGTCTTCTGCTTTTTTCTAGGTGTATCCGAAGCTTCCTCATTTGTCGTTTTTCCCGAGTAGTAGAGCTTGAAGATGCAGGTCTACTGTGTTGTGGCTGTGGTGTTTGAAGTTGAACCTGGGAGGTAGAGAAATTATTGATTACCATATGAGAAAGAAACAAGACTACTGACACAGTTTACAATTAAAAAGATACACTACATTTGAAATCTTGGCAGATGACTAGCATTATTGAATACATTTTTATATCTGTAAACTGAACAGCAGAGTGAAGATGATTGGAAGAGAAAGAGCTTACAAGTAAATGACCTAAAAATAAGAAGAAAAAATAAATGATGTAAAGGAACATATTTAACTGTCACCCTGTATATATCGTCCCTATTTTCACGAAGTGACGGTAGTGAGGAAAATCGTCACGCAAACTGTATGCAATTTTATTTCACTACCGTCACTTCGTGAAAACAGCGACGAATTATGATCAATTTTTGTACTCACTTGGGTCTGAGACTTGGCAGGTTTGCTCACATGTGGTGGATCTGCAGACACCTTCTTGGGAATGCAGAATGCTTGGAGTTGTGCAGTCATCTTGGTTTGGTGAGCAGGCTTTTTCTGCAGGACAAGACAAGCTTAAAAAAATTAATGCGATGCCTGCAACACTATTGATGACTTATTTATAAGCATGAAATTTAATTACACATTAAATTAAATTTTGCAATTACCATTTTGGTTCACGTAATATCCATTTTCGTATTTTTTTCAAACTATTTTAGAGTGTAAAATGATAATAACTGTTGCCAATTTGAGGAGTAAAAGCTGATTAATTCAAACATTTAGAAAGCTCTCTACTGCTAGGGTTAATCTATTCAAATCTGGTAATTTTAATGATGGCCATATTTAAATGGAATAAAAAGGAGTACATGCCTTGTAGTAATACATTTTCTAGCCTTACCTTCAGTTGAGATCCCTGAGCAGGTTCATTTTTCACAGCTGGAGTTGGCTTCTTTGGAACAAGTGAAGTCTGGACACTATTCTTGGTAGCCTTGGTCTGTTGAGTAGGCTTCTTCTGCTTTGTCTGTTGAGTAGGCGTCTTCTGCTCGGCTGACACTTCTCCTTCAAAAAAGAGGACTAGAGCTTGCCATTGTTGGATAAATCTTGGCAAGCATTGGCCCAAGCTCAGCCATCTCGTACAAGCATGTTTCAGAACTGCCTGCACTTCGTTCCCAATGAGCATCTGGAACTTCTTGAGATTCAATTTCCTGTTCACGCTGGCTTCCAGATAGTAGAACACATCAATAAGGAGCGAGTCAATTGAATATGGTAATGCAGATGACGCATCTTTGGCAGCAGAATCAATTAGATGATTGGGGCAACCAAGCACTGACACTTCCCGAGGCATGCCACAATTTGGTATGGTTTACTGTCGCTGACATTACTCCCATCAGTTGATATTGCAATTGGCCGTGCTTTCATGGCTGAAACGATCTGTCCTTGTTTATCTTTGGCCATTTCACGCACAAGACAAGATGTTTGGTCCTTGCACTGGTAAACTTCATAACCTCCTCAGAATTAGGAAAGGCTTTTTTCAACAATGGTCCCATGTGACTTGCAGCTGATAGAAGAATATTGTGCTCCAAATAAAATGATGTAAATAAGCACTCAGCTCTAGTTATATTAAAATCCTTGGAGGTTGACATCCATGATGTTATTTCTCGTGCTGACGATTCAGACTTGAAAGCAGTGATGTGTTGCTTTGATTTGCAATGAACAACAATGTCATTACAACCGCCATGCAAAATTGACAAATCTCGGCGACATTCCTTGCAAGTTGCATGATGTTTGCTCTTTCCTGATGATGCACCGAAGTCAAATTTATCAGCATATTTCTTGTTGTAAGCATGTCCTCTTTTGCACTCCATCTTATTCACAACGATTTTCTGTCTTACACGATGCAAGGAACTGCTTTGGCATCTTGAGCCTCTGTTTTTTGTACGAGATGGGTTTCCGTGAAATTCTCCTTCTGATCTCCAGACAACTGGTCATACTTCGTACATGTTGCACATTGGTCTTTTTTATTTATCATAACGTTTTTTCCGGGCAATGGTATGGTGTTGCTTGGCCACAATCAGTGAAATAGCTGCATAGGGAATCTTATCTGCTTAATGAGTAGAAAACTGCAAGTATTGCGCAATTCTTGATGAATGTACTTGAAACAGTCTGAACATCAAAGTAAAATGGCTAATGGACACATGGGAATAGACAGTTCTGAATAGACACAAAGTGAAATGAATATACAGTTCTTTGGTGGACATAACTGAATTTCACAAAAAATGGACATAGACAGTTCTGGCTTTAAGCCCTCTAGAAAAAATAAGAAATAAAAAACAATATAATACATATTAAAGAAAATAAAATGAAATTTGCATATTCAAAATTTATGCAAATTAACCTTTGCATTTTCAAATATCGACAGCCCCCCCCCCCCCCCCCCTGCAGTCAGGGGTTGCTCAAAATAGCCCAGGGCCAGTAGAATTTCAGAAATATGTTTGCTCTTTCATTAAAATTTAATGAGAAAATTGTAAAGCACAGTTTTTGTTGGGGTTGCAGGGGTTTACTCGTACATGTTTCTATGCGATTCCGTGTTTGTTTTTTGGGGGGAAAAAAGATGAAAAATTGTATTTTAAGATCGTATTTCACTCTTATTATCATACTAAATATGATTTAATCGTACTGGTTGGCATCTCTGTATAACCCTCCAATTTTCATTAACTCAAACAACTTACATCATAGTGAATAACCTACTCAACTAAAACGCATTATCACTACCAAACAATCATCTTTCAGCGAATAACATTCCAGCATTGGGTCCCGATATTAGTATTCTTTCATTATCATTAACCTTCCCATTTTGATATTCCATATATAATATGATATCAACCTCTTCTTTACTTAAATACTTGCATGTCTCATTGTCACGTTCAAGCTTGATCTCTGATTTGAGTGTCTTCTTCAGAGTGATGGTTTCCACCGTGACGTACCTTGTCTCCTCCTCCAACCCAGTCAAAAAATGAGCACTTTGCAAGGTTCATGGAATGTTCCAACTTCAATATACGGATCAGGTCGACAATCCTTAATCTGGGAAGAAAAAGCATGGATGTATGATCTTGTTATCCATCCACCTATCAATCCAGTATTCTAAATGTGCACCATTGTTTTAGATTTCTCAAATATGATCTATAAGTTCGAAATACATGTACATGTCATGATGTGAGTGATGTTTAAAGATACTAAGGTTTGAAAGGCAAGGAGTGACAACACATAAATCCTTTAACTCATCACCTTAAGAAAAGGGTTTTTACCAACTTTACAACCTGCTTTCAATGTGATGTCCATGGCAGATGATATCATTGATAAGTGTACGGTAAGCCAACAAAATATTGACAACCCTTTTAAGAAGGAATAATATTCATATTCGTTTTTGCAAGAATGAAGACATGATAAATGAAAATGTTTAATTATCAACAAAATTAAGAAATTTACTTGTTTATTCTTCTCATTTTACTACTAATATTAAAAAGCAATCTTAACAGCTTCATGGTAACTATAATATGTAGGGATGACCTCTGTTTCCAATAAATCTAGTCCCTTGCTGTACACATGATCTATCAATGTTCCCTTCTCAGTAGTAGCATTAACAACATGCTGTTTGTAACCTTTATTACACATTAGCTTGTTTACCTGTAAAGAACCTTTAAACAAATCCTCATTAAAATCTCCCATCACAATACACCTAATGCTTGTTTTGTGTAATACATCTAGCAAATTGTCTAATGATTCACAGAATGATTTGATACTATATGATGGAGGTCGATAAACAACTGAAATCACAACAGAAACTGGTTTGGTGACAAGAATTGCAATAAACTCTAAGTTGTCGACAGATATGTCTAATCTACTTGAATATGTATTCTTGATATACATTGCAACACCTCCGTGCGATTGTTCTTTGAGTACATTTCCAACTCCAGAATTACAGTATGACAGATGTCGTGGCTGATGATAAAATCGAAAGTTATCTAAAACAACGTCACAGAGATCATCATCATTAATCCATGTTTCGGTCAAGCAAATACAATCTACATTCACAAATTGGCACTGGGATTTGAAATCAGTAAAATGCTGTTTTAATCCTTGTACATTTTGCATTACCAAAGAAAAGTTATAATCGTGAATATCTTCGGAAGTTTCATTCTCAATAAACGGCTTCATAATCTCAATGCGTTCTTTAATTTCTGGATTACAATATATACGTTTAGGATCGAAATGTTCTATCACAAGTCCAGATAACGAAGTAACGCGACTAAGCCCAACATATGCCTGTCCAGATTGAAATACATTTTTTAATGATACAACAGCTTTGTCTAATGTCGAACCTTGTACTTTATGAATTGTGCAAGCATAAGCAAGCTTAAGTGGAAATTGTTTTCTCACATATTTCTTACCATTGGATTCTTGAGACATTTCGATTGAATGAATACCAATATCGGCCTTCTCAAAATTAACTTTGATGCAAACTGGATTCAAATTTGTATGATCCGTTATTATTTCTGTTACATTTCCGAAACATCCATTTGTCAGGCCTTTACTAACATCAATGTTTTTGAGCAACATCACTCTAGCATTAACTGCAATCCACAGATAAGGAGGCAACTGGGTTTTCATCTTTGTATAAGGTTTTTCCCGTATTTGATTTCCTTTTTTAACATCTTTGTCCATGTCTTGTGCTTTTACGCATATCACATCTCCACATTTTTTATGCAATAATTTCTTGTTCCAAGCATCTACTTCATTGTTACATGCATAGATATGCAGAGCATTTTCACATTCTTCACCAGTCTCAC